ATGGCCCCGGTTATGCACAGTATATATGTGACTGTACGAAATGAAATGAAAATAAAACATATTTACACGAGAAAAAAAAAGATTACTGACTTTATGTTGGCAAAATCCACATAACTGGTGAGCTTCATGTACTGTAGCTGTTATTGCTCCTAAATCCTCTGGCCAAATATGATATGAAAAACTTATCAAGCATTGTTACCAATGCATTAAAATGTGTTTGACTCTAGGGGGCAGTGTTCACCTCTGATTTAGAGCTGAAGAGCTTCTGTGGCAATATGGAGGGCATGACTATATGCAGATAGAAGATAAATAAATAGCATGTATTTAAGGGTGCAGTTGAGACTCTTGCGTAGTAGATGTCAGGGTTGCTACACATACAAAGATTGTTTAAAAAAACACTATATTTTAAAAATCTAAATGTTTAAAACTGCTGTCTTTTAATGGAGTATAACATGCCCTGACAAGATACCAAATGGTTTAACAATATCCATATGCTTCTAACCCATTTTATGTTACCCATCCTCATTATGCATGAAGCATTCACTATCTCATACAGTGTCACCATAGAAACTTGCTTATTCCATTTTATAGACAGAAAGGTCAAGCTACTATTTTCCAACTTGCAAATGACCACTTGGTAAATCATAGTTTTAGCAGAATCTAAATCCAGATTGATTCCTTTATGTGCTCCTTTTCCAACATCAGCACTGTCACAGATAAATTCCCGTGCTGAAATGCAGTGAAGAAATGGTTTCCAGAAGAAATGGGGTAAATTTCAGAGGATTAAGAGGCAATTCTACCTGGATATCATGTGGGAGAGAAAGAGGGTGAAGACAGCTCCCCCCACTCTTGATTGTTCACAGATTATTGTAGATTGTTGAGATATGTGGATAAAACATACCTGAGTATGTTTTCACAACCCACAAAGTAATGGCAGAAGATGGTTACACTTATGGGAATTAATCCTCTGACAGAACTACTGAAAATTGGGGACGATTTGCTGTAGAGATGAGGTAGCTACTTCAGGTGGCAGGCTTTGAATGCTGTTTGAAATTATATTTATTTAGCTAAATTTCTCACACAGTCTTGAGAACTACCATTTAGATTTTTCTACTGTAGGTTATTCATCCATCTTTCTTAACTTCAGGGCTTCATCCTGGAAAGTTTGTAATCAGACAGATAGTCTGGTACCCAATTTAAATGAATAATGTGAGATTGCATTTCACCCTATGGTATCAAACCAGATTTGAAACATGAGCCTTTACAAGTGCAGAATGAGAAGTGTTTATTGATGAAAGCAGCTACATCTTGGAAAGCTAGCATAAAATTTTGGGAGAGGAAGCATTGCCTTTCAATACACCAGCTCAAAAGCAGAACTTGTTGCATTAAATATGCATTGCAATTGGCAAGTGGTAAAATGGCCATTTTTTTTCTTCACAGCAAATAAGCCTGCGGCGTTGTATGTGACCATGGAGCTTTGTGGGAGAGAAAAGGTTTGATTATAGCAAAAGATAATCAGATTAAATATGGAGAAGAAATATTGCAAAATATTTAGATGCCATCTGGAAGTTAAGAATGATTTACTAGTAGGATAAAGACAGGTGTGTCTCCTTGGACTTGAAGGAAGCCTTCTGGAAGGAAGATTTCCAAAATCAAATTATGGAGAATCCAGTGGTTGATCAGTAGGCTGTCCGCACATCAACACAATACCCGTTGCTGCAGACCTGAAAGTCAAAGTAACAGATTATCAATAGAGCAGGGGTGTCAAACTCAAGGTTGTGATTGACCTTGGGGGGGGGGGAGAATAGGCATGGCCAGGGTGGGTGTGGCCAGCTTAACATCACTTCTGTCAGGTTTGCCTGTGGTGGCTTGAGTGCTCTGCCAGAGAAAACAGGTTGCCAAGCTCTATTTTCAGCTGCAACAGCCACCTGCAATCATTTGCCAGCAGAAATGGAGTTCGAACCTCCATTTTGCTGTCAGAGGCACCGTGGGCAAGTCCTTCACTGTTTCCAGGGTGGCCCTGTGGACCATATCTAAGCAACATGTGAGCCGGATCCAGCCCCTGGGCCCTGAATTTGACACCCCTGCATTAGAATAAGACAGCACTTTCCCCACAACTGAACTCTGTCATTCCTTAGCACTAAGCCAAATTTCTTTCAGGTTTTACATTGTATAAAAAGACAGGGTGATGTGATTCCTGATCCTTTCCTATAAGCTTCGGGATTTCTTGAGCACTTCTAAGTGGCTTCACTGAACTGTAGACCTTTGGGTCACAAACAGCTCTGTCCTGATTTTCTCCTTTCTCTCTTCCACCTTCCCTAGTATGGAGATATCTACAAGTGTAGAGAAAGGACTGTCTCTGTCCAGAAAGTGTTGCCAGGGAGAAGCACAAGGCTCTGAGAAGGCCAGGCACTTTGTTCTTAGAAGAAAGAAACAGCCCTGGACATTCACCTCATTTGTTGTGGCTGCTGTTTGAAGGAAAAACAAAATAATAACAAAACCAAAATAATGCTAGAGGAATACTTTTTCTTCTGTGTACATTGACTGTAGTTTGGAAAATCTAAACCAGCTTTCAGCAAGATCCATTTGTAGTGATCAACCCTTGGAATCCGAGGACATAGATTAGAGGTAATCTTTTACTAACCCTTCCATCTCCACATTTTGTTCCAGGTGTAACCAATCCATCATCTTCCTTTGATGGAAAATATTTCATTCTGCAATCCGATTCGTTTCCACGACTGCAGTATAACCTACCACACTTTACATCCCTGAAAAGGAAACAGTGAATTCATTCTAATTAAAAAGGATGGAGTAATGAGAGGATGTTCATTTGCTAATCTCTTCAGTGACTTACAATATAATAAGAAGTTAGAAATTGCTAAAAACAATTTTAATTAGAATAAAAGCTAAAAACCAAGATGATGGGCAGCCTGGGGGTGACAATTGCACCTTCCTGGTCAGCCATCCCCAACATAGTAGGCCCATGTTGAGGACGCAGGCCAAGGGGCAGAACCAGGTTCATAGGTTCCGGGAGGCCAGAATTCTGGGGGCAGATCTCACTTCTGATAAGAAAATATTGCCATGCAGAGAAGGCTTTTCTCCTGCACCTGGACAGCCAAAAGTCTTTGGCTGACAGAATCTGAAGCAGGCCCTTTCCACCAAAGGACTGGGGCAGGTCAATCCAACAAGGAAAAGCAATTCCACCAATATCTTGGACCTATTTCATAAAGGGCTTTAAAGGTAATGACCAACTGCTTGAATTGGGCCCAGAAACAAACTGGCAATCTATGCAACTTGTGTAACAATGTGGTCACACGTGCCTTGTTCCAGGGGTCTCCAGTACTGTTAGCATCATTGCCTTCTGTACCAGTTGTAGCTTCTAAATGCACTTCAAGGATAGCCCTATGCAGAAGTCCAGCCGGGACCAGAGCATGAGTGACTGTGCTAAGAATCTTGATCTTGGCTTAACCTTTACATGTTTTAGTTTAATTAGAAATGGAGAACCAGAAGTTTGCTCAGATTCAATGGGAACTAGTAGCCCCCGACACATAACTGAAATATCTCACAAGGTGTTTTGAGATCACAGTTCCTGTATCTCCAACCAGCTCACTGTGATTTCCCTGTTTTTAAGGATGAAGATGGTTGACTCAGGATTCTAATCTTAAGAGCAAGTAATGCATCCATTATCCACCTGGAAAACCCTTAAAGCAGATTTAAAAGACTTTAGAGATTTTCCAGATTTCTAACTTAAAAGTCTCATAATCTCTGAACAGTTGATGACAGGGGATGATGGGAGTTGAAATCTAAAGATTGGCACTATAGTGTGTAAGAGCCAAAAGAAGAATCTGGATTTATACACATGACTAAAAGATAATGTGGCTTATTGTTTAGTTTGGGTTCAACATGGGGTGCAAATTTGGCCATTGTGATTTCTAAATCATGATTTATGGCTAAATGCAATTTATAAACACATCAATCAGGGTTTGCTCAGTAATATGCAGGGTAAACAAGCTGAGTGATGTCAGCCCAAAGAGAAAAGCTGATTATAGCATAGTTCTTGACTTATGACCACAAATGTGTGAAGAATTTCGATTTCTGAACAAGGCTGTTGGTAAGTGAGCTGCACCCAATTTTATAATCTTTTTGGCACGGTTGTTAAGTGAATCACTATAATTGCAAAATAAATCACATTGTTGTTAAGGAAATCTGATACCTCCATTGTCTTTGATTTATTGGAAGCTGGCTGGAAGATCGCAAACAAACATCCTCTCATTACTCCA